AATTATCATACATATCAATCATGTTCACTTCTGCTTTACATGCTCGAATTGTGTAGATTCCATCTTGGGAAGAAGTAGCATGACCTTTTACGGGGCTTAAAGCTAAAATACAGTATTACTAAATGATACTAAACGATAATAATGATTTAAAATTGTACAAAACACGTTTCTTACGTGATAAAGATATAACCATAATCACATGTAATGGACAATACAATACGCTCCTAGAAAGAAATGTTTTATTATATTCCATGACAATATTATGCAGATAAGATGAATATATTAGGAACTGACATAACTTACTAGTCTTTGTAAGTCGATGTATTTGGCATGATGTTTTTACGTAGTACTGTCTGTATTTATAAAACACAACAAGTAGTGGGACAAGAATAGTGAATACCCAAGGAACTGTTACTCCAGCAACAATGACAAGACCAAACACCATTAGCACACACTGCAAAACAAATATTTGTGATGAGTCTTGCATTTGCATTTCCAACTATCTATTTATGTAATTTTTTTATTCCATGTAATGTTTTAATCGTAAAATTATATTTCAAGTTTTGAATAAAAAAAAAAAGATTTTGGTCTTCTAATGCGCTTGTACATATCCGTAAAAATTTTAAAAAATCTCTCATTTTAAGTTTAAAAATTCCCTGTAGAAATACGTATAGCGTTTTAGGTAAAGTTGTGTCAAGTTGTCTTACATCTCTGGAAAATCTGTTCTGAATTTGTCCTGTGATCGAAAATATGTGTTTGCTATTATTTAAATAAAAACTGTAAAAAAATAGTCTTTAAATTATATTTTAGATCTTAAATGGAACCAAGGTCGTTTAACAATATAATTGGCCAAAGATGTTGCTGACTTAATTTCCTTTGATTGAAAGCCGTTATCAGCCTAGATTAATCACATGGTTCAATTTTAAAAATATAAGAAAAACATACGTCATAGATTGAAGTGCACAAATATTTAGAAATCTGAAAAAAAGGGTATAAGAAAACGAACAAACACAAAATCAAAGAGAAGCTAACAAAAAACCTGTGATAGAGTCTTTCTGGAAAAAATCAATGCCTGAAGCTAGTAAACTGTCAACCATCGAGTTATGAAGATTTTGTGATGCATCTAATGTCACATTTACGAGCAGTAAAGCACGTATAAGGCCAAATAAGATCGTAGCTATTGCGGTGGTAACCAATAATGTTTTATGAAAATATGTGTTGACGTCCGGTATCGTCACTTCTGATGTGTTTACGAAAGCTTCAATTAACGATTTATTGTGAGTCATTAAAGCAGCAAATTTATCTTCCTCTTCACTTGCCCTTTGAAAAAAATACCAAAATTGTATCGTGTTATAATTTCAATTGCTTCATGTATCGACAGCATATATGTTGCATATGAGAACAACACCAATTTTTCTTTCATTACTTTCCTGTTGTATTGAATGTCTCGGTTTCAACTCTGTACGATTTTCATTTAAATTATCATGTAACGTGATAATATATTCAAATCATTATTCATCTCAAGAATTAAGTGTGAGAATTAACAAACATGAACAATCATACTTATGCTTATGCTTCTCTGACAAGAAAAAAAGAGCTGGCAGTGCTTTTTTAGCACTCTACTTCAAAGCATCGATTTCTATTTGATTTTTCATATTTTTTTAACAAAAAAGTAAGTTTATGAAAAGTATTTACTAAAGATAAACTTGCATACCAGATTAAAAGATGTATGTCAGCACATTCAAATAACCCCTGTGTTGCAAGGAATGCAATGCTCATAACAAAGAGAATCGGGATGCATGCACCAGCGTTAAAGTATCTAAAGTATGTAGAAATTTGCACTGTATTCTTACGCCTCTCTTCTTCTGAACGTGTTTCAGCAATATTAGCCTATGGATAATTTTATAAAGACAATCAAAATCAAAGTCTAACATTCATTATTATTGAATATTTCAATACGCCTTTTTTATTTTTAGCTGACATTAGAACTGCGTGTTCATATTGAATTTTTTTATTTCACGCTGTCCGTTGTCGTGCGCTTTCTTCATAAGCATATAGTAAAATATTTAAAATAATTCCTCTTTGAAACACCCCCAAAAAGCTTACTATAGATAATTTCCGAAAAACGTCATTTAATTTACCTTAACCAAGATTGTTCGAATTATGACCTTGAGGTAAGAAATGTCATTGTAACCGAGGAATCATAACTTTTTTTAAATCTAAATGTTTAAACAACAACTAAAAAAACAACAACAAAAAACAAACATCTTAGAGCTTGACCTTAGATATTGTTCAAAACATTAACTAGAAAACATCTTTTAAGACTGTTTGAATTATGTCCATAGAATCGAAATTTGTGTCCTTTTCTTATAACAACATCAAAATCCCTCTTCTGCGAAACCCAAGGGTCATAGCTTAAATATTTTAGGGACTGATAAGTAAATGACTTTTTTTTTAATTTAGGCTAGTGGGTCAAACGTAAAGGTTACCGAAGTGTTTACTTCTAAAAGCTTATCCTACCACTCACTAGAGAACGCTTTGTTCTAGTATCCTAATATTTTAAGAGATTGATCATGGCATGTTGATGACTCCTATTGATTTTGAGATCATATAACTTCTCCGTCACGGTAACTTTGAGATTCAATTCACCTTACAAGCCTTTGGTCAAGGCCTTGTTGACATTGATGTTCTACCGACCGATCTGTAAGTCGTCTACTTATCATGGAAAATCTCATAACATATATTATGACCAATGCGTTCTCTATTTGTTCTCTATTGGTTGGACAGCCTTTACATTGTTCAAGGACCCTTGTATAATAAAAATGATATACCAAAACATAAATAGCAAGGAAAAAATGAACATAACTATAGTAAAAGGATATGCCTGCGATCATTTAAAAAATTTTTTTTTGTCCCGAGCTATGCTATCTAACAACCCTATTAATATTTTATATAAAAAAAAAAAAGTAAAACCATGAAAAAAAACATACTTTCAAAAAAAAGGGTAAAGAGGGCTTTAAAAAGGGGAAGAGAATCCGGGGTGAAATGGGCTAAAAAAGGGTTTTGATATAAAAAGCCTTGGCAAAAAAAATTTTGCGGGGTAAAATTTTTATTTTAAATTTTTTTCCTTTTAAAGAGACTTTTTTCGTTAAATATTTAAAACCAGTAAAAGAATAATGCGTCGAGGTGTTGCAACAAACAGATTGTTATCTTTTGTGTGTTTGGCCTCCTTTGCTATAAATATGCATTTTAAAGTAGTATTTCGTTTCACAACATTTTCAAATGCCTGCACTGGACAGGTATCAGAAATCTTGAAATAAATGAAAATTGTAAGATAAAGATAGTTTCTAGTGAAAAGTTTCTCAAAAAGCAGGTTAGTAAAACTAGGCATACTGAAATGTTCTGTGACTCAATATTTATAGTTGTTCAACTCTAAAATTGGTACAAATACTGTTGTAAAGCTGTATGAGAAAAAACATCTGGATGGCACAGAACATAGTGAATTCAATACACCCTTAGTAGTATAATGACACTCACCGTCGCATCAATGTTTAATGTTGTCGATTCATTTGAAGCGTCCCTTTGTCCCGTCCGTTCATTGTTGATACCTTCCAATTTACTGTGTCTATCATAATGAATCATTATCATTTCAATAATTTTTATAAACAATACAACGTTTTTTTCCCCAATACCAAATGGATTATGTTTGTAATTGCATTACCTGTTTGAAAATGATTACCTTATATTACGTCTTCAAAAGTTTTTATCACAGAATACTATACAATAGATCAATACCTTGCATAACAGGTTGCATATATCAAAATTCAGAAAACTAGTTCTTAAATGATAAGGAATTAGGATTTATACGGAATAAAGAAATTAAGAAAACATTACTGGTCTGAATTATAACATTATTTTATTAACATTGTATTTAAAGGGGTACTCAGGCAAATTATGACAAAAGTATTAAAATGATCTTATGCACAAATCACGCTTAACTGACATTTTTCAAAGTCCGATCATGAATTTCTGTATACATTCTATATATTTCGGACTTGAAGCGAAACTATCAGAATCACCAGTAGCTTTAAAAGTTGTGTGACTTGAACAAACCCTGGAAGTTACAGTAACAGTAACTGTGAATATTGTATGATAAAAACAAGTCTGGGTCATTCATTCGTCAGAGTTCACTGTGACAACTATTGTCAACTCTTAACGCTCTAACCTGACACACGTGGGTCAAGTTAGGAAACCATAACTTTATTCTTCATAAGGAGAACAGTTTTTCATGTGACTGCCTAGAGTATTCATTTTCGATGACATTTTTAAAATAATGAATGAAAAATTCAAAACGAAGAAATATATATTTGCCTGTGTCTCCCTTTAATTAACATGTTTAATTTATCAATTTTTCCATGCTCTTACTGTATATCAACGTGTTCCGTGTCAAGTCCTGAAAATCCACCTTTTTCTAATTCGCTCATTATTTGAAGATTTCCAATTTTCCTGTCCATTGTCCCATCCTGCAAGATATCGCAGATATGATACAGTAGATTTTAATTTTGAGAAATAAATTGTTATACTTTAGCAAACACTATATTTTCATAAATATAACAATGAAACTAATTAAGTTATTACACATAATAATATAGATAATCTAACTTATATCAGGGATGAACAATAAATAAAGATGAGTAGATTTACCTTAGAAATGAAAATGACTTCATCGGAGAGTTGTATGTACTGCCTTTGATGTGTGACCATAATTGTTACTTTATCTTTCAGAAGTCCTTGCATAACACTTGAAAACATAACAGTTATGACATAATATTACAGCTGGTAAACAATATGTAAGGAATCTTAGAAAGGTGGCTTCATAAACTAATACTCGTGAACTGATCCTGAATGATAAAAATAAGGTCTGTTAACTTCAAAGTTCTCACAGCAAATTGTTTAGTGCTCATTCAACAACAGGTATCAAAAGTTTATTGTTACCTTTATAAGTGTTTTGTATTTAATCTCATTATTGTTACATTTTCCTGTTTTGTTTTCTTTGTTCTTTAGTAATACTGATTCAAATTCATTTGCTGAAGATTGAATACTGTTTTAACTGTTGGTATATGTGATGTTGCGCTATATAAGCAACGAACAAACCAATCCAGTTAAGTCTCACATCTATTTTTTCGCTGTGCAATTTATATCAAGGTTTTATGAGTTCATAACTCATTTTAAATGTTGAAATGTAATGCATGGAAAATAAGTTTTAAAATAATTAAGTATTTAGATGTTGTCTGTCTATTTAAACGTATAATTTAGCTATTTTTTATATTTACTTTCTATAGATATGTAGTCCGGTCTCAGAGTCAACAGCACTAAGCGGATCATCAAGCAAATAAATAGCGGCATCACAATAAAGTGCACGTGCCAAATTCACACGTGACTTTTGGCCACCGCTGAGATTAATGCCACGGTCACCAATTAATGTTGCAGCTCCTTTATCCATCTTTCTGAAATCCTTAAATAGTGCATATTATTTTTATTTAAGTACGATAAGGTTCGTAAAAAGTCAGATTGTCACCATACGAATCGATAAGAAAAATCTAATGATCACGGCTTTTAACGCAAAAGAATGCTAATATTATCATATCTTTTATTTATAAAGCCTTTTATTTATAAAATGTCCACATATATAGCTAAGACATCTTTTGCTTTTTGGCATTTAGAACAGTTAGAATGATTAAATAATTTGAATGAATGTTAAAATATGACTTTGTTTATATTTTGCAATCTATGCGTTTAACACAAATTATTTCACATTCAGCGCTCTCCTCTTCATAAGCATCTCAAATCTTCTAAAGTCCTTAATACAACAATAAAACGCATGCTTGCCTTTCTTCAGATACTAGTAGAAAAAAATGAAGTTTATTTCTAAAGCTTCATATGCCATTAAAGCAGGACGCCTCTAGATTCTATTACCTTATGGAATAGATATGTAGAAAGTATATTCAATTTTTTTAAAAGTTGTACAAAAACGTTGCTAATTTGTGCTACAAAAATTTTCACCCGTAAGAAAAAGGGTAGAAAAATGATTATAATATCATAAAGTCAGCCAGTTCCGCATAAAACACTGCATATATTTTTTTAAAAATATAGCTTTTATTAACATAAACGCATCAAAAAATTGATAACGTTTGCCCTTTTGAAAATATCATGGCAGTCCCCATTAAGGTGTATTTTTGCATATGATATGTGTTTTCAATTCTTTAAAAAAAGACAAAACTTCAAAAGCTAGTGTTGACAAAACTTCAAAAGCTAGTGTTATCCTTAACAAGGTTTTAGTTTGGAAAGACTCCAATATTTACAAAAACAGTATTGATATAGAGAAACTTGCGAGCCTTTTAAATATTTCAAGATCTATGATATAGATTATAAAAGCAAGACAAAATAGACAAATTTGATTTTCTGATGAAACTAAAAGGAATATAGATAGGAATGTAAACACATCACACAAGAAGCTCAAATAAATAATTAATTACTTTGAAATTGTAAAACATTGCTCTATCATTTATTTATAACATTCATAACATATGGGCACGCGTCAACATAAATTGAATTAAAATATCTAATTATTAGTTAGTGAAGTTGGTACCTCGTCTAAAGCACATGCTAGAAGTATTTTCTGGTATTTTTCATTGTCAACTGTTTTATCAACTGTAATGTTCTGTTGCAGAGTTCCTGAGAATAGCCATGGATGTTGGCTAGCATATGCCATCCGACCATGGACATTTATATTACCTTCCTGAACTTTAAGTTCATTTAGTATTGCCATCAGTAACGAAGACTAAAATATAAACAATGATATAGTTGATAAAACTTGCACGAAGAAAAACTGAATTCAAACACGAGTTTTAAAAAATGTCTACAAGTCTTAAGCTATACTATCAAGGTTATTACAGTTTAAAACACTAATGACAAATTGCTTATGGCTTTCTCACGGTGTATTGGAAGCTTGTTGTCCTGGAGCAAGATGTTGATTTAGAATGAGAGAGGTTTATTATTCGGATCTAAGTCCGTGCAAATAAAAATGTTAACGTGCCCCTTTTAATGATACTTATCATGTATGCTTTTAAAGTCAGGGATTAGTTTTAGCTCTTCTCTGATCATTCCATTTATCCTAATATGACACCAATATTGGTCATAGCAAAGTCAAACAAGATTAAATCATATTGCAATAAGTTGTTGAACAATCAACTAAAACCAATATGTCTGACCTGTAATAAACGTGACAAAAAGTAAATTTTCTATATAACCCAATGCAGTTAAATATAGATAATCGTATTTCTTTATTTATTAAATGTTGTGTTTTATACTGTATATTAAATCTAAAGCAGGAGATGTTACTTTGATGCAATCGTAAAAAACTAATTCTAATACGCACCTTTCCACAACCGACCGGACCTACAATTGTCAACACCTTCCCGCGTTCAACTTTTGCAGATATATTACTTAAAGTAGTATTTTCGTTGTCCTTAAAAACATATAGAAAATGCATAATGATATACAGTTAAACCTTTTAATAAAGTCTTACCAGGGGAAAGAAAAGATATATAGTCTTTATAGTCAAGTATTCTTTATGTTTTCATTCTATTTTATTAATTAAGGTTTTAAAAAGTGACTGACCTTTAATACATATTTGACTGAAGTAGTATAACTTTATTTTAATAGCGTAAGAAATTGTTATAAGTGTTACGATTGACTTTAGGTGAAGACATAGATTCAATAAGCTATTTTACAAACTTAGTGTTTGCCTAGTTAAGAAAATAAATTTCAACTAAGAGCTATCTCGGTCATATAATATAAATAGCAATAAAATTAAATTCGATAATATGGTAATTTGAAATATTTGATTTCGTTTCTTTGCTATAATTACTGTTGAAAAAAAAACATGCTAACTACCTTCCAATGTGCACGTTTAATGTCGATATCAACAAATGCTTTATTTTCTGGATCTGTATATGTTCTCTCTTTCCGTTTGTCAAGCAGCAGAAATGTCTAAAATATTAAGTTAAGACGATATTTTTGTTGTTTTTTTTAAATATTCCATTAAACGAATTTTCTGACTTTCATGTGTATCTCTTCTATCCTATCCTGTTCTTTTTATTCCTTTTATATTATCTTTTATACTTGTTCTTAAGCATAGATTGTTTAATAGATTAAAAAACCAAAGCAAATATCACTTGGTTCACGGAATACTCAATTGTAGAATTCCACGTGTTTTAAATGCTTTTTTTAAACACAAATGTCCAAAAATGTATTGCTATTGGATTTAATTTAGTAGTTTGGTTATGAATGCTGCTTAACCTTTATAATCACAAACCTGGTTGACGTCCGATTTGTGTTATCGATTAAACATATGTGTATATCAAAGCTCCTTGAGTAATTTTAAAGCATATTCATCAAAATTGTACGACATTTCTTGAAATTCTAAAATGTCGTTTGTAACAGTTTCACGCTGATTTGAGCACTTTGAAATGACGAGAGGATTGTAAAGTAAATACTTATTGTGTGTGAAGGTCGAAACAAACAAAGTTGGTGTTAGTGGTTACCCAGCTGTGATCAAAAACTCAGTTGTTCTGCTTTTTTTTTTTTTCTTTTTTTTTTTTTAAACGAATAACTTGCTAGAAATGTTTTTTATGTACTCTTATAACAAAGAATTTTTTTTATTACTTGGAACAATACACCGGCTTAATATTGTGACGAATCATGTGTGAGGTATTAAAATATGAAAAGTTTTATAAAATTTAAAAAAATACGCTTCGAAAATTGAAAGGCAGAGAAAATGCTTCTTGAAACCACGATCAAGGAGATAAAATAAGGCGACGCTTCGGTACATAAGACAGACATTTGAGGAGAAAGAAAGGGAATTCAATGTTCAACATAAATTTTCATATTCCCAAGACCTTGCAACTACGGGGAGTGGTCAAATATAATGCATCTAAACTACCAGAAAATATGTTAAGCACACCCCAAATATTTAAAATTGGTTGTGAAATGACAACTAAATTGAGCTAAGAAATATTAATTTGATAACTAGCGATACCAATTTAGTAATCATAAACCAGTTAATTGATCAGATTAGTTAATTCTTAACCAAATTATAGAAGCATGAGCTAATGTGTTGTTTATACCAAAAATGGTAGTGTTTATAAGTATGGTGTTGGAGCGTTACACAACATTTACTGTTGGATATTTTTGTTTATTGTGGGCGATTACGTAAAACGACATTATGAAGTCAAATACTGAATAACGAGTGTAATCGCCACGTGCTCTGATGAAAGCCTAAATCTTTCACCTCACACCCGGCATTTTGCCTCAATTTTGACATGACCACAACTAAAATTTTAAATTTTATTTGGGCAATAGGACGAAACCACCTGTAGTCAACCTGCATCAGCTGGAACAAGCTCTGCACCAAGAATAGCAAAATGTACCTCAAAATCGCATTAGACGCCTTACTGGAAGTATGCATTCAACATGCTAAAAACGTTTTGATATAAAGAAACTTCTTTCAAAGCTTGTGCAAATATTTGATCTTTCTCTCCTCCTCATTATTATCGTTAATGCATTTTACATCTAATAGCACTTCGTTACCATTTGAAGCCCCCAAAAAGGATATTTTAGGACAACATGTTGAAAACCCCTCGTACTGACTAGTATTCACCTGCTTTATATTACACACTGTCTTGTATTTAACATTTCTTAAAAATTTCTTGTAACAAACGCAACTAAGAATTTTTAAAGCACTTGTTCAAGATTCAACAATCTACAATCAATATAAACTTTATAAAAACAACTATGACACGACTATTTTGTTTGTTTGTTTGTTTTAGACTTTTTTAAACAAAGCTTTGAATGTGCACAACATACCTGTAGACTTTGTAAATTGACATCATTAGTTTTAACGAGTAACGTGTATGCACGAAACATCCTTCTACTAACAATGTGACCTGCGTGATCATATATTCTAAGAGCCAAAAACACACTGGATTTACGGAGGTTTATAGATGTATACATCGTCCATATCATCACAGGCAAAATGTAGAAGAATTTGGAAGCAAATGTCAGGGTGTCTTGAACAAAATGTATGAAAAGCACGTTCTTCTGCTCTTTAACTTCACCCCTATTAAAATAAAAACAAAATGCAAGATACAAATTTTGATAGCCAATTAAAGAGGCGTGGGCATAATTGAATTATAACGAATTTGTTAGCTTTATTAAAAAAAACTTCTTAAGAAACTGTTTAAAACGTACGTAATGAATTTCAGATAATATTCATTGCATCTGTTTATCAGAAATAAAAAAAACGTACTTTGAACAAAAAGAAACCTTCAAAATGTAAAACTCTTAAATGAATGCAGATTCGATATTTGATCGACCTTCTTTCACTTAATAAATGACACCTTTATTCAGAAAACTTTATGCCAATAAAAACATGACAAAGAAAGCTACAGTACCTGGAAAATTAGATAATTTACAAAATCTTTGTATGATAAAAATCAATGTGCATTATGGATACTAATTGGAGAGTTCTTCATTACCTCCTTGCCTCCCTCAAAAGTTCTCCGAATGGTTTTTCCAAACAATATAGTTTGATCTCTTTTATTGCCTTTACAATTTCAATTATAATACCGATACGGTTCTTTCTGTATTTCACCGAGGATTTCCTTAAAGTTAATATTATATAGATGTTATATATTATCATCGTGCTTTTGTTTATTAGGTATTTTTGTTAAACATAAAACAAAGATCGGCTCTATTACAATATGGTATATGTTATGCCGATTCCTTTTGGTAATCAGTGGTCCTATGCAAAGGATTTTTCAAAACAATCCATCAATTTTCATAGTTCTGACTCTGTTATACAATCCTTCTCTATAATACATTATTATCACTGACAAAAGTACAAAATTTGATTAGCTTAGACATACGCTGTCTTCGCAGCTCGGTTAGCGTTAGTGAAACATTCGACCGATGGGCAGGAGAGTAGCTGAAACATTAACCGAACAGTGTAATATTTCTCAAAATAATACAAAGATAGTTATGTAGTTATGCATTAAAAATATGTTCTGTTAATGCTTACTCGTATTTTGTAACCAGATCTCCAATCAAATGTACCATGGGGACCATTAAAAACAATACTTCGAATCCTGCCACAGCGGGTAGTCCGATTTCAATCCATAAGATTATCAAAATAACAATAATCTCCAAAGGACCGATCCAAAGAAAATGTAGCATTGTCATCAGCTGAAAATAATGACAGCTATATATTTCATTGACATTTTTTTTCTAAATAATTTACTTGCTACTACTTTGATACAAAATATTTTATTGACAATGATAAAATTAAATTCTTCTACTTAAAGTGTATAAACCAATATAGCTGCTATATGCAGTCTACCCAATTAATGTTTGAATTCTGAAAAAGTATTATTCCAAAATAAATGAACGAAATATGTCCTTCGAACGGCAGACGTATGCACAAACGATTAAAATCACTTACTTAAATAACAGCATAATATTCTACTCCGAAACATTTTATTCCGTTGAGGTACTGTATTTATGTGTTGAAGATACACATTTGGTGTTAGAATTCTTTAAAGAAACACTCTTAAATCGGACGGAAACAACATATATTTTTTTTAATTAATACGAGTTTCATGAAAATGCTTCATTAGATATAGCTTTATATACTTTCGTTGAATTTTACTATTTATTATCCAAAGTTAAATACCTGTGTGAAGTTTGAAACGTCATTGGAAAGAATGTCAATTATTTGTCCTGTGGTAGTTTCCCGGCGACCATCAATGCTTAATCGTAATGTCTAAAATCATATAAGTTAAATATACAAAATCAATTAAAAACATAATGCAAAACTATTAACTTCAACAGTTTAAAATATATTTAAATTAATTAGACATAGTATCGCTGTATATTTCAAAAATGTTTAAGATACTATTTCTTAATATTATTTAACAGTATACTTTTTTAAAGAAATTCACATAAATATTAACCGTTTTATGCACCTGCCATTGTCAAATAACCATTTTATTTTGAAAAAAAGAAACAGTTATCCTCCATATTTTGTGTTATTTTGTGGCGTTTTATCCAGTTCGCGTGTTGTATATCGGTATGAAATGAAATTGGAAATAATACCAAAGAGAGAAAAAAAATAAAACAACAAGTTTAGAAAACGATCTGCTTTCTAGTGATAAGATTAGCCTTAGAAACGGTCCGCTTCCAAAAAAGAAGCAAGTCCGTGAATGGTGAGCAAGTCTTAGTGAGGTCCGCTTCCCAGGAAAGAAGAAAGTTTTAGAAAGGTCCGCTTCCTTAGCGAAATTAAAGGAATATAAATCGCGAATAAAAAAAAATAAAGCAATCTTTTTTGCAGATGATGCAACATTTGTTAGAAGTCTTTTGAAAAACTTGCTTATATTATAACGGAATTTAGCAAAATCTGTGGATTAAAACTTAATTCAAAAAAAAATCCACAGTTCTACGAGTAGCATCGCTCACAAAAAGTGATGTAGAACTTTGTAAACATAAAAAATTCAATTGGACATTTGATTCAGCAAAAACTCTAGGTATTCTTTTCTCGTCTAATTACAAAAAGAAATACAGATATAAATTTAGAACCAAAACTAAGATACTTTTTTATTTGCTTAAAACAATGGCAACACAGAAAAATGACCCTTATGGGTAAATTGATGGTTGTAAAATCATTTGTCTTACCTCAACTTATTACTTAGTTATATCCATTTTCAGGTTTAGAAAACTCATCAAATGATAAGAAAAAAGAAATAATTAAAGCAATGTTTCTGTTATTTTGGTTGGCAAGTCAGAAAAATCAAACGTAAAACATTAAAACTTAATGTTTAAAATGGTGGTTTAAAAATGATCGATATTAATACTTTTTAAATGCAGTAAAGGCAAATTGGGTCAAACGATATATAAATGAGGTCAATAAAGGATTATGGAAACTTTTTATAAATCAAAAGATAAAACAGTATGGAAATGACCTTATATTTGACTGTAATCTTTCAATATCAGATATCAATAAGCTATTTCCTCACAATTCATTCATTAACAATGTGCTTTCGTCATGGTTTCATATTCAACAAGATCACAGTAATACAAAAGACAACCTTAAACATATAATATGGAAACAATTCGAATATTAATATTGATAATAAATTGGTGTACTTTCAAAACCATGGCATAATAAAGGTATTCTTTATTTAGAACAGGAAAAATGAACTCTACAAATTTGAGGACCTTTAAATAACTATGGTATGGAAAATGGAGTTTTTAAAATATTACATGCTTGTGAATAGTTTACCAAAAAGATATCTTGATATCTACAAGAAATTATAACAAAGTACAAGATACACTCCTAAATAAAGTTAAAATATCAAAATCTGTAAATAAGCTTTTATATAATATTCAACTTGAAAATGATGAAAGGTTCAAAAATACAAATGAGGAGAAATAAGAAACAGAAACTGAGCTGGATTGGCATAAAATATCTATGGTTCCATTTAAAAGTACTACAGATGTGTCATTGAGAAATTTTCAATACAAATTTATTCATAGACTAATTCCAACTAATACAATGTTATTTAAATATAGCCTTTGTAATTCAAATCTATGTGATTTTTCTGGTAGCAATTTAGAAACGCTTTACCATCTTTTTTGGGAATGCACTATAATACAAAATTTATGGTAAAAATTATATTCTTTTCTCTTATCAATCAATATTGATTTCTCATATAATTTAGAAACAGTGTTTTTTGGAGAGCTGAAAAGCAATATTAATAGTACTATAGTAAATTATATCATCAAACTCATGAAATAATTTATCCTTAAAATGAAATACCAAAACCATGAACCAACTTTTGATATTTTCAAAAACATTTTGCTATTGAGAATACAAATTGAAGAGGAAATTGCTTTTCTAAATGGTAAAGTTGAATCACACAAACAAAAATGAAGTAACTTGTTAACGCTCTAAACCTACACACCAACAGTAAGGGAAAATTACAAATAAATTCAAAACCATAAAACGTATGAAAATTAATTGAAACTAGCTCGCTTGTTCCTTTTTGTCTCTGTTTTTTGTGTGTTTGTTTGTATGTTTTGTATATATGTAGATAAAATAGTATCTATTGAATGTCTGTATGTATGTTTGTGTATGTATATTTCTCTGACCTTTTCTTTGTTGCTTTTTTCTTTCTCTCTCTCCTTTATTGCTTCAAATAATGTTTAATGTTTTTTAATATACTTCAAATTCCTTTTTTCACTTTCTTGTTATACTCCAAATAATTTTGAATGTCTTTTTGTATCTTAAATATTCTTTCTATTATTCGAAATAAATGAATAGATGGTAGAAATATGGTGTGAATGGGTGTTTCATAATTTGTAATGATTTTTGTTTTTGAAAATATAGGTATGAGTCTATGAATCGTATGATGTGTATGTTTGTATTGTTATACTTCAAACATGAAATAAATGTAAAAAAAGTTCCGCTTCCCAGGAAAAGCAAGTCTAAGAGAGGCTCGTTTCACAGGAAAGAAGCAAGCCTCAGAAAGGGTCCGCTTCCAAAAAAGAAGCAAGTCCGTGAAAGATGAGCAAGTCTTAGTGAGGTCCGCTTCCCAGGAAAAAGCGTTTCTAAAGGACCGCTTCCCAGGAAGGAAAAAAGTCTTAGTTAAGTCGGTTTCCCAGGAAAAGCAAGTCTAAGACAGGTTCGCTTCACAGGAAAGAAGCAAGAAGTTTTAGAGAGGTCCGCTTTGCAGAAAGAAGCAAGTCCAAAGAGCACAGAAAACTCGAGTACTGCAGCAAGTTTAATGAGTGCAGCAAGTCTAACTTGTGCAGTAAGTTTATTTAAATGCCTCAGCAAGCCTAATACTGCAGCAATTACAAGGTCCGCAGTAAAATCCAAGGAGCGCAATATATCCAATACTGCAGCTAGTCTAAACACCATAGCAAGTCAAATAATGCAGCAAGTTAAATATTGCAGCAAGTCCAGAATTTCAGAAATTCTAAGCAACAGTCACAAGTACCGCTCGGAATATCAATCAGAAACTCATAAGAGAAACCAAAACTTGACAGTCATAAAATGCGGGAATATAGTGTTAGTCTTGTTATTAATGAATTTATTTATCTGTTTATTTTAGAGCTAAACGGTACACGTATCATTTCAACGTCAATATACTTGTACATTTACCTGTCTGTAAACAAGAGATGAGCATGCTATTTTCATTTTGACGCCGATCATCTGAACTCCAAGGTAATATATATTATGTGTGAAGGCTAATATGACAGCACACAATCCGATACCTCCTGCATACATAAAGCCTTCCGTTTTCGGAAAAAAGGGTGCATCTTTCGTGAAGTATCTGATCAATCCGCTGAGTAGAAGATGCTGTATTATGACAACAGCTTCCTATTTAATAGTCCAATTTATGGAAAACAGTGTCAACTGTATATATATCACTTATAATATTTATATAATATAAACATTTAACGGTTAAATATACTTTGAGCATCTTCTATTCAAAAGAGTACGATGGGAAAGCAAATAAACGTAGTTTGAAAATATTAAAAAAATAAATACAGCTCGCATTCTCTTTGATACATTCTAACATGTCAGAAAAAATCATTTCTTTGTCATGGCAAACAAGACTTTATTGTATATTTACAAGCATGATTTTCTATTTATAGTTATTCAATACATTTTAACTTTCAGTAAATGTTGTTTCTTTAAAAAATAAAACATCAAACACATTAAGACAGTAGCTGAGAACAAAATTTTGTTGTTATAATGATATATATTCATTAATATATACATATTCATACTTTTTGTAACATATCTTGTATGTAGACAAAAATGAAACAAACTTCTTATGGATGCTATCGACGATATCAAACAATCTAACCAAAGTTATGGCGAAATGATTTGTTAACCAACAAATGAATTAAAATTGATATATGCAGACAACATGCCGTACACGGTATTACACATGTACAGTCGAATACCTCAAAAAATAACAGGAATCCATACAAGACAAACGGTTTCCAAAATACCGAAATCAATGACCAATACAGCTTAGGTTTTGTTTTCGTTTTTCTACAACTTTCTACTTGTTTCGACCATGCTCTGAAAGGGTAAATGATAATAGCTATAAGGTTTAAAAAATAATAAAAACTTTTAATATATTGGTGCATGATAGAATGTGATAAATAAGCATTTAACGCTAATCTTGTTTAATTTCCGATGTGGTCTGAAAGTATCAAAGTCCCAGTCGGTCAAATATACATCGGAGCTAACTATGTGGATATTATATCACTTGCTTGAAAAATGAGTTGTGAAAGAACAACACCGCCCTGATCTTAACATTCTTCACGACTACGCAATTAGCACCGCAACTTTCGCTATTGTGAAACGTAGATGGTAAAATACTTTATCGTTCAATATGTCACCTCCTGTTAGAGCCTGATAATTATTACATATTTGCAAGATAAAAAAGAAAGTAAACAAGGAATTCAACTTGCTGACTTAGATGATATCAATTTAAGAAACTTGACAATGCAATACAGCAAAACAATAATAGGAAGACATTGTATTTTGTACTCGTTCGCATTATATATTTGATATTTCTCGTTAAATAGTTCTTTTTTATAATTTTGCTCACGAATTCAAGTCTGAATAAAATTTAACAATGAAGACGAGGTACATTCTGTACAAGACAAAAGAGAACTTTTTTACACAGATGGCTGTTTTGCGGCCGAATTTTAATATTTCTTAGCAAAATGTTACATTATAAT